ACCATACGCACCACCACACATCCACACAGCTCACCATCCGCGACGACGCCAACAACGAGGTAGCGCAAGGGCAGACAGGCGAAGTGTGTGTCAAGGGCCCCAATGTCACCGCAGGCTATCACAGCAGGCCTGAAGCCAACCAGGAGGCATTTCTGGGGGGGTGGTTCCACACAGGCGACCAGGGGTATCTGGATGCGGAGGGGTATCTGTTCCTCACCGGACGGATTAAGGAGCTGATCAATCGGGGCGGCGAGAAGGTGGGTAGGCATGTACGCACGTGTGAGAGTGCACACACACGTACGTACGTGTGGAGTGGTCTAGTGTACACACATGTACGTGTGGAGTGGTGTGTGTGGTATGGTGTTTAAGACCTTTGTGCACATGTTGGGGGCTGTCGAAGGTTAGAGTGCTAAGGAATGGCAGAGGGTGCATGTGAGTGTTGATAGGCCAGCTGCGTGTTCATCAAGTCACAAGCATGCTCACGAGTGTGCATATGTGAACGTGTGCGTTGGTAGGTTTGTAAGTTTGTGTGTCAATGAATGATTTTCTGTTCTGGTCCGCTAGTGACGAAACGTTGTATATATTGTGCGAGGAAATATTGGTCTCATAATTATCCCTATTATTAGTTCTATTGTTAGCCCTAGTATTAGTGGCATATCATGTCATATTTTTAGTCATGTTATATGTCATATTATTGGTCGTATTATTAGTCATATCATGTCATATTTTAAGTCATGTTATATTAAGTCATATTTTAAATCATGTTATAAGTCATATTGTTAGTTGTATTTTTAGTCCTATTATTAGTTATATTGTGAGTTATATTATTAGTTGTGTATTGTTAGTCGGATTATAGTCGTATTTTAAGTCCTATTTTTAGTCAAATTGTTAGTTATATTATTAGCCCTATTATTAGCCCTGTTATTAGCCCTATCATTAGCCCTATTGTTAGCTCGATTGTTAACCCTATTGTTAGCCCTATTATTAGCCCTATTATTAGCCCTATTATTAGCCCTGCTATTAGCCCCATAGCACAAGTGCACTTAGCGCACCGTGGTGCACATGCAGGACTCACCAGTAGTCTACGATGGGCCACTAATAACGTCTCAGATGCGTGCTTACACAGACTATACATATATTGAATCCAGCAAATTTCTTCAGCATGGTTCGCCAGCATGCATCATCCTCACAAACTTTTATCAGTGTATTGACTGAGGTACTTATACTTCGGTCACACACACACCCTGTACCTGTATGCGAGTGCAGGCAGACAGTGCACACATCCTCTGCGGCCATAGTGTCTATCCACATTCATATAATAGCGTCGTGTACATGTATAGTTATAAACATTGCTCCACGCTCTGCCGTTTATTTCAATATGTGGCGTTGAAAACTTCTCCTTCGCCTCAGAGACGACACATTCACATACAATCACACACATACCTTTGTGCACAAAACAACCCCACACCACTGATAGATCACACACATCACACTCTCACGAACGCACACATGATACTCTCACTATCACACACATCACAACTATACCCATGTACAGACAACAACGCCTAGACGTCGACCGCATTAGAATAGTGCGCACATCACAGTACTAGCCCAGCCCAAACATCACTCTATATGAGCCATTCACCTTCACCTTCACAGATACCCGCATACCCAGACATCCACACATGCATGCCACTGACATGTGCCATGCGTATACGCCCTCAGATATCACCTGTTGAAGTGGATGGCATTCTCCTGGCCCATCCTAAAGTGGGCGAGGCTGTGTCGTTTGCTGCGCCGCATGAGATTCTGGGAGAGGTGGTGGCAGCTGCGGTTGTGCCTAAGGCCAATGAGCAACTCACAGACACAGAGATCATCGACTACTGCAAGCAACAGCTCAGTGCGTTCAAGGTAGGGCGGGGCATGGGGCAAAACGTGGCACATACAGGGGATGGGCTATAGGCCTATGTGATGGCTATGGTAGTACCAACACCATTGACTTTGTTGACTTTGTGTTGGGGTCGTACATGCCTGGTGATAGTGGGGGTGTGTGTGGCTAAATCAGTCTGGTGATGTCTTGTATGTGATGTAGTTTTGGCTCATTGCGTAGCTGTAAAGCAATCATTCCGTTTCTATCGGTGATTACGTTTACGCTGGCGGTTACTCAGTGAGCGTTAACGCTAAAAAAGCTCAGCCTTCGGAGAATGTATGTGTTGTTGCAGGGATATGTCTGCAGGTGTGTGTGATTTGGTTCCCTTTAGTATCGCCCCTCATGTCTCACTTAGTTCAGCCTTATAACAATGTATGTGATGGTTCACTCATAACAATGTATTTGTTGGTCCACTTATAACAATGTATGTGTTGGTTCGCTCATAACATTGTATGTGTTGTTTCACTTATAGCAATGTATGTGTTGGCTGCCTTGTGCTCATATCTCCCCATTTAATATGCTCGTAGGTGCCTACGCTCGTGTTTGTCGTGGATGACTTCCCCAGAACAGCAACGGGGAAGATACAACGCAGGATTGTAGCGAAACACTTTCTCGAGAAGAAGGAGTGACCAACTCACAAAGCAGTACAGGGCACCGGACACACACGAGACACTCACCAACGAAAGTGCACACAACCCAATGCTCTGCACACACCACACCACACGCGCGTGTCTACATATCTGCAATAGCCCTGGTGGACGTTATATGCGTAGGTAGGTGTGATGTTCATCATTTCATGTGTAGGTAGGGTCTGCCTGTTGAGAAGTGCTGTGAGACAAGTCTTTGGGCCATTCATGCAGGGTTATGCATAGTATGCATAAATTCGAATGTTCCGGTGAGCCTTGGTTGGCTTCAACTGTCTATAGCTTGAATAAAAGTAATACGGGCGATCTGAGAACAGAAGTGTGTGTGGGGCTGCAAAGTGCACCCGGATTAAATGTAACGCCTTCTTATGGTATAGTAAATACTCGCGGGATTGTTGGTCACCCTTGTCTTTGGATCACACTACGAAGTGAGTAGCTACCATAACAGCCCTTCGTATTGTGTCGATGCAATACATCACAACAGACAGAACTTTCCTGTTATTAAAATCATACCAACGACTACAACAGACCGAACTTTCCCGTTATTAAAATCATACGAACGACTACAACCGACCGAACTTTCGTGTTATTGATATCATACGACCACAACACAAAACTTTCGTGTTATTAAAATCATACGAACGACTACAACAGATAGAACTTTCGTGTTGTTAAGATCATAGGGACGCGTGTGACATTTGTAAACGAGCCATGCGACTAAGGAGATGTGTTGTCGGGTTGACGCCGATGACATGCAACTTCTACTTGCGGCTATTATATAATGAAGATAACTCGTGTTTCTTTGGCTGTGCAGTAAGCCTACAACAACCGTTTGTTCTGTTAAGGTCAGCATAGGGGGGCATATAATTATCACTTTCCAATTGCACATGCCTGTGCACCAGGGCTTTCAGACTCGGCGTACGCATCCACTGTACATGTCGACCCAAGCACACATGTGTATATTTACATTTAGACATGTCTGTGTAAAACTAAGAGATGTGTGGATATATCTATCTGACGACAGCATTGCACCCCCCCTTCCCCCTGTCTCGTAGAGACAAGACTGGACACTTCCCGAGTTCACAGACGAATCCGATAATTTTAGGGATAGGAAGGACATACCAATTAAAAACCGTGAGTACTTTTACTATAGCTTACTGCTGATGGTGGATCCTCTATAGGGCGATTGTTATTATACATAATATATAACTCACTTTATAAGGTGGTGCTCCGGTGGGTTTGAATTAGATTGGATATCTGAGCTTATGTATATGCCTTCTAGCTAGCGAGACTTAGAGAGATAATATTGTCATGCCACCGACTACATCGGACTCCTACAACTACTATAATAATTCCATAAACATGACATCTATGAATTGTTTAGGTACCGCTTGAAACCTCGATGCAAGGACGTTATATCCAACTGGATGAGTCGAGGTCTACATAATCACTAGAACAACGGAACAAGACCGGACTTAAAACATTCTTCACTCCTCTAGAGAAATTACAAGTCTGCTCATGATGTTCACACGAGAGACTGATTCTCTCTTGATTACACCTTGCACTAGGGCACTGATAGTTATAGCTACGAGTACGGCCGCCTATATCCGAACAATAGCTGATCAAGCTCAGTTTAAGAGGCACCACAGCTTAATCTCATACACACCATTGGTTGATAAATAGCCACTCGAGGGGTCTTTGCGGATTGTTTAATATCTGCAGTCCAGTCCATATATCCGGTGAAGAAAATAGGTGTACATATATTGATGGCTTCTCATATTTTTAACGAAGGTAGATGTTTGCACAACCCTTTAACTCAAACTAGAAGGCTATGATGTTTGTTTTAAGTTTCATGTAGTGTACATGCATACCTCATATAACAGTCATGTTAAGAGTGTTCATGAATGCGCACCTCCGTAAAAAAATCATTTTATAATATCGTACACGAAAGGTATGAACCCAGCGGTCGTTCGCTATTCGAGACATGTGCCAGGCATTCATCTCTCGTGTGAGGTATATTCTTTATTCGAGACAAATCCGATCTATTATATAACTAACAACGCTTCAGCACATCACACTTCCGGGCGGCACTCTCTGCGTTCACTGTTATTCTTACTTTACCAAAAACAACTGGTGGCAGTATATTGCTATTAAATGGGGGCTATTGTTATGCTATTTACCGTCACACGTGTTTAAGCGCTCTTGCTCATCTCTGTGTGCTCTATACGGAACTTAAAAAGGTACTCCTTGACCTTTTCACTATGTGGACCCACATATCCCTTCGGCAATACATATGCTACGAAATACATGGGCAGATTACCCAGGAACCGTGCCATACAGATAGGAGGCACCTTAGGCACGTTTACCAACCTCCACGCCTCAAGATCGAGGTACATGCCGTGCATCGAAAAACTGTATATCTCTCCTGGCTTGTGGCCCTTTATGCGTTTAGCTCGCTCTGCTCGTGGTATAGCTTTCTCCTGCGGGAATTCATCAACACCCAACGGTGGCAATGGGTCGCCCTTCTTAGTGATGATGAATGTATCGGCTGTAGTATGTAGAGGTAACGAGATGTGGCACACTTCATCCTTATTCCCCAGACTCACATGCGAATTCGTTGTAGTACTACGTATAAGTGCTGTCACACACTTGGCTGCAGCCCAGGAGAACATGCCTTGCAACGGCATGGGTCCACTTCCCTGTATACCTACATATATCCTCTCTGTCTCAATGTTCTTAAGTTCACCCTCTACTTGTATCTCGTACATGCGCTTGCGACCCTTGAAGTATGGTTCGACAGTAGCATCCTCGGGTGTTCTTCTTAGCTTGAGTATAGCTCTGCCCTTGCACACATCATTGTCCAGTACATACGGCTCCAAGCAATTCGGAATAAGCAACGCGCCCGAATCGGATTCAGCATCGCTTATACGCAGAGATGTATTGAGTGGTGCCAGAGAATTACTATCTTCAACCTCCTGTGAGATACTGCTGCTTTGCGTAGTCACACTCATGCAATCATAGTCGGATTCAATGACCATGTCAGGGTGTGTGGAATCGACAGTTTTACCCATAGGAGTGTTTTTAGCTACGTGCAGAGTAGACGATTTAACAACCGCATCTTTGTCGGCAACCATCACATCAACTGATTTGGCCTTTCGACCCATTATATCTGTATCCAAGAGTGTGTTTACTTGTAATTCTACACACTTAACGCTCCCTAATACGACTTTCTTTGAACCGTTTATAATGTATACCTGGAGACTTCCCTGTTGTGAAGTAACTGAATAATCACTACTTATTTATCAGTGGACAGTTGGTACTTTTTACATACTCGAGTGCTTGTGAATGGTGGCGGTCTGCACCGTGAAGAATTAATAATATGCGACATCGTCCATAGCCTTCTTCTTTTAAAAAAAACATTGCCTCTATTTGTTCGATTGAATTGGTTTTTAAAGCTTGTAATATTTTAAAAACATAAAAAAACAAGTACAGTACAATCAAATATTCTCAGTGTCCGTCCAAGACTCTAAATATAACAGACCGAAGCCCAAGGCCCCAAGCCTATATCTTTTAAAAATCTTTCAAGTCCCAAAATGGCTAAAAATAGCCAGTTATTACTAGCCACCACTTGCGACTTGGTAACAATCACGAGTCATTGCCCCAAGACCAGGGCCCCAGGGCCAGGACCAGGGCCAGGGGGATGTGGAATAGAAGTAAACGTTATAAAAGGTTATAATCTGTAAATTGAAAACGGTAGCATACTTAAATATTTAGACCTACAAAATTCACCTACGAACATACAGAGGACCGTATATGGAATAGAAGTTGAACGTAGACGAAGTGAGCCCAAGGCCCTGGCCGCTGGGCCCCCCCGCACTCCATGTCTACTCCTTATTCAACTACTCCTACGAGTAGTAGTAAGGAGAGTAGAGACTGAGAGAGAGAGAGCAGTGAGCAGACGCAGGTGCCAGCAGCCGTACCAGCCACCACTCACAACTCACAAGTCATCAGACTCCAGTGTCCTGGTCCAGACTCTAAATACTTTTTTAAAAACAAATATAATACTATTTAGTATGTAAATAGTATTTAGTATCAGTGCTCCTCAGTACAATTTACCGACATTGAGTGGCTGCTATATATAACCGCCATTCAGGTGGCAGGCCACCACTGACCACCTCTTGGTAACAATCAGTTACCACTCACAAGTCACAACTCATTGTGGTGAAAGTGGTTTCTCAATCTCCATTTGACGTTGCGAACGGTTGCGAACGGTTGCGAACGGTTGCGGTTGAGCCGTCGAGGGGCATCCCTAGACTCCACAAGCAAGGGACAAGGCCCGACTCCAAAAAGGGCCGAGGGCGCCCGAGACCCAAATCTCAAATCTCAAATCTCATCACAAGTACATTCTCAACAAAATAATGACTAAAATCAAACATGGATGATTTCAGGTCTATTTAGAAGGCTATGATGCTTTGCATCGAATCCTACAATCGCAAGCCACAGCCCTGAGCCCTGAGGGCAGTCAGCAGTGGGCACAAAAACAAAGGCGCACAGTGCGACAGTGTACAATATAATATATATTTACACTACAGACGTACAGCAGGTACATATACATCACATATACAATACAATCTAACTACTGTACTTTATCTACAAGCAGTCATATTCACCTGAATAATTCTTAGTTCTAGCACAAGAGTCAACAATGGCTGCTAGTATATGCAATAACAGCCGATTCATCCTCCTCAGATCCTCAGCCGTCGCCGTCGTCGTCAGCAATCATTCCTCTGGTTTAGTTTCACTTTCCCTGTTTGAATCGTCAAATTTCCACAGTCTGCGGTTTTTTCTGTTGATAACCATGTTCATATATATATATATATATATAAACACACACACACATACACACACACACACACATATATATATATATATATATTGTTATATATACACATATATATATAT